TTCAGGCAGGGGGGTTGACAGAGAGCCCAGCCCCCCCCCCCGGCTCCTTTGCTGCCCCCTCCCCAATTTTTTTCCCTCTTTGCAAAACAGTTAACTTTTCTCCCTCCCTGCTGGCGTTAAGCGAGCGGATGCTATGGAGCGAGGCAGAGGGGAGAAAGTGCTATAAATATCTTGCCCCGGCGTGGCGGTAGGGTCGGTCTAAGGGTGAATTTCGGGGTCATTTTTCTGTCTCCAGCACATATGTTCAGTGCCTGTCTGCAGCCCCTCCTCGCTGTGCCCCAGGGTTCAGTGTCTGGTGAGAGCTGAACTGCTTATGTGTCAAAGCCATGGTCGGTCACCTGAAGTTCACCAGGGAGGGGGAGGGTTAAGATTGTGGTATATGGTGTGTGCTCTGTTTTTTCCGCTGCAGACAGAGTGCGATCGATTACTCTCTCCATATATATATATATAATATATATAGCTATCGGGGAAGAGGGTTGAGGCACCGCTTCCCGTCCTAACCCTTTACCACCTCCTGGACACTGGTAACCTGGCACATAAGCCAACGCGGAGGTGGGGGAAGAAATGGCACTTGCAGCTCCACAAATATTTCTCTCTCCCTTTCCGCTGGAGCCGACTCAGAGGGCTTGGGGTTGTACTTTTTTTTTATTTGCCCCTGTGCAGTCCTTTCGCTGTCTGCCCGCTAGAGGATCTGAGTCTGAAACACACGAGCACGCACAGAATTCCCCATATAGAAATGTATCTACTTCAGGAAGCTTGCACAAGTGAGGTCATGAAAGTGCAGTGTCTGTGTTTTGCACCATTACTGCTCTCCTCCACTTCACTGGTCTCTAATAAAAGAAAGAAGAGATTGGAGGGGGCTCTCTCTACTTTGTATGTATATTAATGTGGGTATTGGCATGTACCTCAAACGTGCACAAAATAGGAACTTTGAGAACAGTGAGAAAACAAGATTTTAAATTTAACTTTTTTCGAGGGTGGGGTGACTTGGTAAGGGCAGACAATTCTTCTGGATTGACAGAGTTTGGAAATTGAGTTCTGTGTCTGCAGATCAGATAGCATTGCAGGCAGCTGCAGACAGCCCTGCTGGTGACCTTGACCCTGACCTGGTGTGACTACCCTCTGTCTGACTCTCTAGGGCTGAGATGAAATTCAGTCTCCATTTTAGTTCACTTGGGGTGTGCCTCTCATATTCATAGACAGCTGGTAATTATGCTCAGTTTTATGTATTGGCTGTTCCTCACCCCTCAGGTTGCATGCTGTTACCCCCTCACACAAGACTCCTTGCTCTAGTAAAGGAACCAGGGGTGAATTGAGGAGCAATTACCTTTGTTGAAGTACTGTGCAAATGTAGGTGTTTAAATACAGGACCTTATTTACAGAGCTTTTACTCTCATTTTTGAGCTAAGTAGTGTTGTTTTCCCTGATGTGTGCTGTATGCACTGGATTTTTCTAAACTAATGTCACTTTTGCTTGCTGGGATTTATATATTTATAGACAAATTGCATTGGGATTAAAAGATATTCTTGGCAAATAATGTATTGAGTAATTCAGTAAGAATTGTATGAATGCTGCTATGCATTCAAATGGTCCTACAGAGTTAGAAAATGCCTTGGAAGTTCATTGCAGTTAGTGTGCAAATGCTATAAATAGTGACTTTTGTGACAGTAGTGTTGTGTACTTAATTTAAAATAATTTAATTAAAAATCATTGAAACAGTAATAGGAGAATGTTGTGGTTGCACAAATAAGCACTCAAGGCCGTTAATGAAATAGTTAAGCATGTCCTCACAACCTTAACCCTTCCATCCATTATGTATTTATATTATGATGGTTTTTATTTGCATAATAACTTGCTAATTCTTAAATGCAATATATTTATATTGCTGTATATCTACAGTTGCTGTGTACAAGAGATGTACCAGGTAAAGTGTATTAAAGTCCATTATATTGAAAAACACACAGTAAAATGTTCACAACATACTACTGGCTAACTATAACTGAAAATACAGTGAAAATTTGCAGACATACCTAGTATACTTAAAAGTGCAACGTGTCTCCTATGACTAGGCCTGTTTACTTTAATAGGACTCACTTTGCCCAAAAATGTATATTTTCAGGATTTATGCACTAGTTGCTTCTTAGTTAATGGCCTTATTCCTTGAATTACATTTAGGAAAGGTAGCATTGTCCATCAAAAAGAAATTGCAGCAGCATAATACATGGTTACTGACTAAAGCCCCAATTCTGTATTTACAGAAATTGCCCACAGTTGAAACCATTTACATATGTAAAGTTACCAGTATTTGTAAGGTTGGGGCCTCAATTATTAAAACACACGCGTCTTTGAGAAAAAAGTATATAAAAAGTTTATCAAAGTTACACTCCACTGTTACAACAATGAATGCAATGTAAATATAGGAGAATTAAAACAATTGCAAGATTTTAGCCATATGTTTCCAAGGTTGTAAAATAAAAGGTATATTATGTTGTATTGAGAAACAGAATTGCCTATTTTGGGGCTTTTTTATGAGCAAGACATTCCATAATTGAAGTTTTTAACTAGATACTGACACAATGCCTACCTCCCACACCTTATAAAATACAATGGATGCTTTTTTCTGTTTTTTTTTTTTTTAAGGTGCAAATGAGTAAGGCTAAGATTTAACAAATTGCTGTGGCGTCCTTAGCTCCATTACTACCCATCCTCACAACATTTTTCACTGGACACTTAAGTGAGACTATGCTACACATTGCTTTGTTAATTTACAAACCTTATAATAATATTTTTATTACTCTTGCCATGCATACTGGGTGTGGTTTTCAACTGTTTGTGATTAACATAAATCAATCGGTTTTCACCGGGACACTCAAAGGCTGTCTCCTCAATGAGATGCCTTGCATGTTCAAAAGCTTCAGAGGGGTAGACAAGTTAATCTGTACAGGATAAACCTTAAAAACAACAAATAGTCTGGTAGCACTTTAAAGACTAACAAAACATGTAGCTCATGGTATCATGAGCTTTCGTGGGCACAGCCCACTTCTTCAGATGACAGAAGTGGGTTGTGCCCATGAAAGCTTATGATACCATCTACATGTTTTGTTAGTCTTTAGAGTGTTACCAGACTATTTGTTGTTTAAGTGTATCCTCAATGAGGGACGTTCCCATAGCCTATCTACTTCAGTGCTTAGAGGTAATTTTAAAAAAGTTGTAAGTATGTGCTTTGCTTGTTTACTTTCTCTTCTCATTCTGAATTGTTTTTCTAGGACTTTCCAATAAAAATTCACTTTCTGGCAGAGACCAGACCTTATTGGAAACATGCCAGTCTGAAAAGTGAAAGTTTCAGAAAATTGAGGTTTGAAACAGGTGATTAGAATGGAAACTTTCAAGTCACTATTACTATAGTAGTCACTATTGTTTTTGTCTTTAATTCAGTTTCAAGGGCTTACAATATGTGCAGAATGCAAACTAGTAGACTGATGTAATTTAGTTTATATACTATATACTTATAATTTAACACATCTGGACAGTGCCCTCAGATGTTGAATTGCTATTGTCTGAGGAATGTGTCTAATCAAGACCAAACTGATGTATACCTTTCTGTTGGATTTATTTTGCTAATTGAGTAGATTGGCACTAACAGCATAGTTGTATTTTAGGAGGATACTTATAACTGATTAGGACTGTATCCTAGGCATGATAACTAAATATTCCCTTATGTTATTATGAAGCTGAATTTCAACTGTCTCATATTCTATACCTAATTTACCATAAAGGCTTTTTCTATATCATTTTTTGTTGAAATGTATTGACAAAAGCAGCGTAAAGAAAATTGGGCTTGATAAATTCAATATTATTTAAAGTTTCTTTCCTCTATTTTATGTTTGTTTTGGAATTTTATAGGTAGAGACTACAGTAGGTATGAGATTTTGAAAAGGCTATCCATATGTTAGAAGAATCTTTTTGCTTTCATGCTAGAATCTAGAGCTGCCAATGAAATGGGCTTTTGTCAGCAACAGGAGTCTCCCTCTCTCTTTTAATAGTATTTATTACCTTACCCGCAGACATCATATGTACGTGGAAAAGCTTTTAACATAGTTTCTATTTATTATTTTTAACCTCTTGCCACTGCAGGGGTCATGATATAGC